ATTTCAATTAACGGCTTTTCGTCTTACAATCCTAAGATGCTTGTTTGTTTCATCCAATCATAGAGATAGCTCCCATAAAGAATAACTTATTTAGGAGCACTGAGTTGGTGCTCAGCCACCAACAGGTCATCCATCAGTGCCAAGTACTCAGCCACCAGCTCATCCACAAAGAAATCCAGCTTTTTCTGTACCCTATGAACAGACACCCCACGTGGCCTCTCTATCACCACCTTCCACTCAACCTTCTCTAGTCACCTTGTTTATCATATTTTGCATACACCCAGGGATGCTGCTTCACATTCCACTTCACACCATTGTCTAGACTGTGCATTAGGCTCTAGTATGTTACCTACTTGAGTCACTGTTCCTAGAGTCCTTCTGTGATCACACTTCAGTTATTTTTTGTGTGCACCAGACTAGCAGGTATTCTATATCTCCCATACAGAAGACCTTATGTAGGGTACTGCATGCACATTCACTGCCTTCTCTCTTTTCTGCATTCTGCTCCTCGCATTTTAATTGGTACACCATTTTCCATATATGCAAGATGATACAGCAAATTAGTGGCTATGCATACACTCACTATCGACAAACTTGTGAATCAGCCACCCAGGCAATCAGCATTTATTTGTAAAAATTAGTTCATGTCCATTCAGATTTTGCAGTCAACATTATGAACTTTACAAGCAGGAAAATACATCATCCCATGAATAATTAATTTAAGTATAAACTGAAGAGTCCATTGAGTGGTTTTTAATTTTGGCAAACACGATGGCCCTGCAATTGTTTGACGATATTCAGCTTCTACTCTCCATTCTGGCCCCTTATCCATATCAGCAAGCACCTCCTCCTCTCCCAGCAGTCATCTCCTTCCCACTACATCGACTGCACCATGCCTCTCCTTGACCACAGCAGGAATCAACTACCCCTCACTGTCTGCGTACTATGTTTCACCACATCAGATGACCTTAGCAGCATGTCAAGAAGCCGAGTATCTGAACCCAATTTGCTATGCATATTGCTCCCTTTGAAGTACCGAGAAAGCCACCCTTCGATAGCTACCCCATTTAAAATGTGTATTCTTCTGGATTTGCAACCCAGTTTACAGTTCTGCCGCGATTGTACACCTGTTTATCATCTCGAATGGTGATGTATGAGTTACAGTAATCTCTAATCTACATCCTTTCCGCAATAGAAGCCACAAACACATGGAACAGAAAACAAATGTAAGGACCTATCTGCACCAATCTCAGGTCACATTTCTTCCGTTGAAACGGCCATGCGCTCATACTCATGTAGACATTTACCCGCAAAATTGCAAGATTTAAATACACCTCTGAATTCTGGTACATATCATGTGCATAGGATATGTTATAGATTAGTACCGCTTCGATGTAGCAATTTTGACATAAATTGAACATTTATGTCCTCTTGTTGCTGATCGTCTGTAAAAAAGGACTAAACATCTTAAGATTCTTTTGAGATACACTTTCTCTACGTTCCAAAGTGTACTTCTAACCTTCTTTTTCCTTGTCAAGAACTGCTGTTTAAATTTGTCATTGTTTTCTATTGCATACCATTGGTCCGGTGAGTGAAACCAACGCAAATAGACATCATTTGCCAAGCCTTTCACTTTGAAGAATCGCTGAGCTGTCTTGTTGTGATTGATACAATAATAAATCAATTTTGGTTTTGGTGACAGGCCGTTGCTACTATGGAAAGGGAACCGCGAGGAAGATTGTGTATCCAGATTCAGTAGACTTTCTTGAGTGTGATCATGATATTACCGCCGATGGAACCGAGCACACGGACGGGATGCTGGACGTGGATTTAATGTTCGATTTTAGGAGTGACGCCCAGTTTGCAGACGATATGATGGGGTACTGTGAGCATCAAAAAAAGTTGTTGCAGGAGGGCGATGAGTATTAACCTTATTAGGCCTGATGTAGAAATACTTACTCCCTCTAATCCATATTAATTGTCGCCAGACTTAGTACGACTTTTAGGGCGATGAGTATTAATTTCAAGAGCGGGAGGAACTAGTATTAGGTCTTGAACCTTATTAAGCCTGATGTAGAAATATTACTCCCTCGGATTCCATATTAATTGTCACCAGCTTAGTAACAACTTTTGCACTTAAAGTTATACTAAGTCGGCGATAATTAATATGGATCGAAGGGAGTAGTAAATCAAGCTTGTTATAATATTGTTGTATTTTGTATTCCGTCTTGCCTGAACCTTTGTTGTTATCTGCCACTATGTAATCACCCGAGAAATTTGTTTGGTCATCAAAGGTTCAGTTTATTTCCTTTCGTCCGTAACAGATTTCTACTCCTTCTGTAAACAAATATTAGTGACACAAAACGCCTTATATTTGCTTACAGAGGGAGTACCAAATTTGTTGGACGGTGCGCCCTGTCCAAAGAGTAGAACACCCCGGCCGCATGCTTCTTGAATGATTAGTTAGGGGCCACTCACATTTGTGTGATATAAAAAAGTATATAAGCATAAATAAATATACAGGTTTATTTATCAATGCGTAGGGATCTTAAGATTTCATTCGGAGGATCCTTAAAAATGGCAGCAGCGATCCCTTGGACACCATTAGGTTTCGTCCACTAAAAGATGGACCGATGATTACTGCAGATCTGGTGGAATGTTATACACGTCAGTTTGGTCAGGTGAGCGTTTTCTTTTTATTCTTTATTATCAATACATGTACTATGAATGGACGTTGTAATGCGCTAACGCTTTAGTTTTGTAGGATCTTTTCATGAAAGTGAATAAGAAGGAACGCTATATTGATGTGCGGTTTGCGGACAAGGAGTCTGCGGACAGTGTTAAACGAAATTTTCAACTTCCTTGGCAGATGCCTCCTTTCGACATGGTTTTGACAAATACCATTGATGGGTCTCAGATAATTAGTAAGTCCCCTGGTTTCTCAATAGATACCACAAGGCTGTTTTAAATGCTGCAGCTAAGATTTGTTAAATTAGAATTCTGCACATGCACTACATCAAATAAGCTTGTTTTTACGCTAACGGCTAAGGGTCTCATACTTTTCAACGGCTAGTTCTGTATTCAATTGCACATGCCTGGTACATCAGAGCTGCTTAGGCCTTGGTGTTAGTCATGTTTTTAGCATAAGAAGAGTGAAGTGATGTGTATCATGCAAAACTGATGTTATCGTTTCCTGGAATCTTTTGTTTTTGTCCTTGCCGCAAACTTTGCTTGAGGCGATAAACAAAATCAAATTTTGAAGCATTCTTCACCTACCATTTATAATGCACACAAAGAAATTTCACTGATGACCAAGAATTATTTCGTTGTACATGAAAAAAAAATTCAACTTTGTAGTCATAAAAGTAACCAACCTTATAATGTAAAAAAAGAAGAAGCAAATACAACCTTATAGCAGCATCCCCAAAAGAATCTAATAAGCGTGCAGCAAAGTGCTAGTAGCTTATAAAGTTATCTTAGGAAATCAAAATGATCTACATTCCTAACAGTGATTTGACGTTCATGCTCGTACAGGATCAGTACATGATACATATTTGAAAATTTTATAATGCTACTATAGTCGAGCATTAGGCTATTTGCTACATAATTGGCATTTGTCCATGATGATGGTGCATGTATTCCGCAACATGCAGGTCTGATGGTTTTTTTTCCCTGGTTTAATTTGATTCTGCAATATTTTATCTTGAAGCATGCCACTGTAAAATGTAAATTCAAGTACTTCGAAATATGCCATTGCGTACCATTTTAGAATATTTGCAAGAAATATGTACATATCTGATTTCGTGATTTTCAGAGACAAAAATGCCCTTGACCAACCTTATCAGCTACTCATGATCCCTATCTTTCTCTCTGGTGCGCTCAAAGGATTGTGGTAATGATTAATAAATAATGCTAACACGGTCATGATGTTATGCAGCCCCTGGAGAAGTTAAAATGTACCAGCCTCCCCGTGATCTTGATCATGATAATACACAGGTAGGTACATGGTACCATTTTCTCTCATTCAAAATGGGCATTTTCTATCATTGGCCGAAGCTTTATCTCTGTTTTTGTTTCTCTGCAGCCAAGTGTTCCCCTGTGTTGGAACAACCCACACCCTGTTATATTTGAATTTCCTGAGAAGAAGGATGAAGAGGCTGATGAGGCAAGTCCAGCGGCTGATGAGTCAAGTCCAGCGGCTGATTTGCCTCCTCGGGTGCAGAAGCCTAAAAGTACCAAGCCACGTCGTCAGCCTCGGGTGATAGCCAAGTATCCTCCAACTGCTCAGCCACCTCCTCCATCTTCACGCCCTCCCTTCCGTGAACCTAAGTGGCCGACTCCACCTCCACATATTACTGCATGACCTACATTCTGTAGTAGTACTACACCCTACGGGGCAATTATATTTGGATGTAGGCATTCGAGGCATTTGCATTGAATTGACTTCAATGCTAATTTTTGTATTTGGATGTTCATTGACTTAGAAATTAGAATCTAAGGGGAGCAACAACTTCAATTCTTGTTTGGATGGACAAAACGTAGAATTAGAAAGTTTCGCAAATATGCACAATTCTTTGCTGCACATGTTTCAAAATGAAATCCGCACAACATGCGCATCTATTTGAATGATTATATATTACAAAAAGTTACAAAACATGCAAATAATATTGAAAATGTTCACGACATAGAAATGGCCTGACAAATTTGTGTAACAGCGACAATAATGTGGTAGACTTGGCATCAACTTAAGGGCAATTCCAACACGGAACCAAGCCACCCTTGAACGGCCTGTTTGAACCTTTTTTGTCATCCAACATAGTCCCTTAAATGCGTGCGTCTGACTACAGGGGCCACCCGAAACCCTTCCTGCATCTTCCGCTCTAGAAACGAAACCCTTCCTGCATCTTCCGCTCTAGAAACGAAACCCTTCCTGCATCTTCCGCTCTAGAAACCTCACTGCACAGCCTGTTTGCGGACGTCCGGACTCGTGCCACGTTTGTGTCCCACTCTAGGGGCCCACCCAACACCCTTCCAGTTCCGGCACCTTTCGCTCTAGAAACCTCACCGCACATCCATGCCACTCAAAGCAGATGCAAAGCGGATGCGACCGGACAGTTGCCTACCCGAATTGATGCTGGTTGACAACGCTGGCATTCACACCAATGTGGCGCCCAAAAAACCTACTATGACTGTTGTGCCGCACTGAAGCGGCGTTAGTCTGCTCGCCCTGGCTATTTAAGCAGGTCAACCGCATCAGCCAGCCCCATCTCCTCTCATGTCCTCACACCGAAGCGTCTCCTCTCCTCACACTGTCCCATCTCTTCTCCTCAGACCGTAGCTTGGCCTCTCCTCTCCTCAGCACACCACGATGAGCAAGTCTGGTAGCAGATGGTTCTCGGCACCTCGTTGCACATAGTCTACATGTCGTCATCCTCCACCACTCCGCCGATGAAGTAGGTGTAACACCCTTGTAATTAGCTACAACGAACTCACCCTAATGATGCCTTGTCATCTTATTTTGCTAAGCTTAATTGCCACTTAGTTGGAACTCAACTCAAATTCAAATTCAAATTACAAGTCAATTTTTTTAAACAGTAAATCAAAAGTGGTTGTCATGTAGAAACCAACATCATTTGAACTATTAAAATGACCTTAACTTATTTAAAACAGGGCCAGCATCACTAAATTGAGCCATTTCAATTCAAGCAAATATTTAAACATGCTAACATAATATATGGCCTAGTAATTATGTGCCAGTTTTCATATGCAACAAAAAATATTGGACGCCGATATCCACCACACGTGTGGCATAATAGGCATTCGCCAACACACCGTGTGTGGCATGAGCAAGGGGCAGCCCACACGGACTGTGTGTGGGCGAACAGTAAAATTGCTCACATGTGTGGGCGCAGCAACTTCGTGCCACACGCCCAACAAGTACTACTCATCCCCACCCCGCACGTATGGCATGAAGCAAAAATGCCCACACGTCCTGGCGCAGCTACATTAGGTACCCACGGGATGATGATTTAGTTGCCATCCGGGATGGCAGATGTAGTTATTCGGGATGGCAAATATGGTTGTAAAAGCATGACAATTCTCTCTGTTTTGGTTAACTATAGTTGCCATGTCTAATTTATGGTAGTTGCCGCATGCAATTAAACCATAGTTGTCGTGTGTGAGTAACTACTTGCTACATATGGTCAAACAATAGTTGCCATGTGTGTTTACCTAGTTGCCACGTGTGGTTAATCACAGTTGCCATGTATGTTTATCTGATTGCCACGTACGCGCAACTGCAGTTGCCGTCTAGCAAACGAATCATAGTTGCCATGTGTGTTTACCTAGTTGCCATGTACGCGCAACTGCAGTTGCCATCCAACACGTACGACAGTCGTGTGGGTGAAAAACAGTTCGCCCACACACGCGTGGTCTAGGTGGTGGTTGTGTGGGCAGAAACTAGTTCGCCAACACAGCGCAACTGGCAACCACGTGCTGTGGGGCGTGTGGGCGACCTCTCCAACGCCCACACACCGGCCTTGTCCTACGTGGCATGCGAAAACTGCCTCGGTGTGTCAAGATTCATGCAAACTTAACTGGACGGTGATCCAGACGTGTGGGCGAGTTGCAATGTTGCCACACGTGTGGGCGTTAATGTTTTCGAAAATATTTGGTACTTGATTAAATTGCAATACAGAAAAAGTAAGAAACATAAAAAAGGAAAACAGGCACAGTACACTTGCCGCAACTGAGGCAACAGTGCAGCCGAGCCGAGCCGAGCCGGCCTTTTCCTCTACCTCTCGCCAGGAGAAGCAGAGGCCATGGCGTGGCGCGCATCCGCGGCCACCCTGGCTCGATGCTCTCCACGCGATGCTACAAGAGCCGGGAGAGGATAATAGCAACATCCCGCACCCCCTGGACAAACCCTA